TAGAACCCATAAATCTGTAATGTGGCGTGTAAGGTGAACGGGGAAAATTGATGCTAATTTTAATGGATGTTCAAGGAAATCTTTTGAAATAGGTGTATTAGTTTATTTAATTCAAATTTTAAAAGCAAAAAAACTTAGAATTACCAAAAGTAAAATTCGACCAAATTTTTTCCGAGAATAACTCCTGGTATATAACCAGTATAACTGGCACATTGACAGTTTCAGTATGGGAAATATGTCAAAACTGACCATTTATTCTGAGATTAATATTTGCTATTGTTTGGTCGAATCACTTGTCGAATCCACCCTAAGCAATTTTTCGTAGTTTTAGCTATGGAACAAACCGTAGTCATGTCGTAGTGTCACCCGTAGTCAGTTTTACATTTCGTAGCCGTAGCAGGTCGTAGTCGTGTCGTAGTGTCACCCGTAGTCAGTTTCACATTTCGTAGCCGTAGCTAGTCGTAGTCGTGTCGTAGTGTCACCCGTAGTCAGTTTCACATTTCGTAGCCGTAGCTAGTCGTAGTCGTGTCGTAGTGTCATCCGTAGTCAGTTTCACATTTCGTAGCCGTAGCAAGTCGTAGTCGTGTCGTAGTGACACCATAGTCAGTTTCACTTTTCGTAGCCGTAGCAAGTAAGCGTAGCAAGTCGTAGTGATGTCGTAGTGTCACCCGTAGTCAGTTTCACATTTCGTAACCGTAGCAAGTAAGCGTAGCAAGTCGTAGTGATGTCGTAATGTCACCGTAGTAAGTTTCACATTTCGTAGCCGTAGCAAGTCGTAGTGTCACCCGTAGTCAGTTTTACATTTCGTAGCCGTAGCAGGTCGTAGTCGTGTCGCAGTGTCACCCGTAGTCTCGTAGCGTCTACAAACCAACTTCTACAAGATGGGCGTGTTTAAACAACAATGCCAATGTTATTTGATGACTAACCATTTTTATTGTACTACAAATACGTTGGAAATGTTAAATGGGACTTGACTGAAAATTTAATACAGGTAATTTGATAGTTAATTATGAAACAAATTGCGAATTATTTTTGTTAATGTATGTTACACTGTAAGCTGTTTCCCAAATAAAGAAAATAAACAAATGAATCAAATGAAATTAATAATTATCGCAAAGGTTGCAGTATATTTTGATAAGTGTTGTAAATAGGATTGTTTATCAAGTTGTTACGATACATTAATCAAAGAGCTGTCAACGATCAGGCATAAATAAATGACGGTTGATTACACAAAATATAAATATCCTTTCTATTGTTACGCTATTAGTAACGCCGATATTAATCGTAAGCGCAAAAAATGAGGCGTGTCGCAAACCACGTTCGCGTGTTTTCTTTGTACCTGCTTTAACTTCTTAACAGTCTCACGTAATCACTCCAACAATGAACCTCTATTACTATTTACCAGGGATGTTATGGATATGAAGTTTCGGTTATGGATACGGTTACGGATATTAGAATAATATTATACCGGCTTCGGTTACGGATATGAAATCATTTCGGATTTAGAATTTTAATAATGTAAAATTCAAATAGCAAGATGCTGCTCGACCCATATAGCCACTTTGTGTACTATGACGGCACCTATGATAATGGTAAATCAGGCGGGGATATAAGATTGTGCCAGGGAATGCCAGACAAGTAACAAATATTAAAAACATTGAGATTTAGACTCTGCCTTTATCCCAAACTTTTGAATCGGTTTCGGTTACGGTTACGGATATTTTTTTATTTCGGATATCCGATAGATTCGGTTACGGTTACGGATATCCTCAACATCCCTGCAATTTACTATTCATTTATTCTGCCTTAGCAATAACGATTATGACATATAGTTCTTTTTCTCCACCAGCAATAACAAAACCAGGCTGGCAAGACGGATAGCCGTTCAAAATCTAAGATCTTTCTAGATTTTCTAATGTCCTTCTTTATCAGCGTAATTTATTGCTTCCTTCATAATTTACAGTCCTTTCCGCGGGTTGGACGTGGAAACAAAAGATAATGTAGAGTTTATGTATTGTAGATTTTATTAGCTTATTTCGCTGGTAACACAAAACAGCGAAGTTTTGTGTTTACGTTTTTTGTTTACAAAGTTAGTAATTTGAGTCAAATTCAGTTTTATAGGTCCTAAAATAAGCTCAACTTTTATTTGTAAGTCACTAGACCCTTGGTTTAATGATTAGATACCTAATGGCAATGCCAGATTTTATATGGAAGGTGGCGTCGTTTTTTTTTCGCGCGGCCATCGACCAAACCTTATTTTTTGATCACAAAATAGTGTAATAAACCAAACTTATTACGACATGTATACCTCTAAACTCAGTCTGAACTGAGTTACGAGCATTAGAAGTTTGATGATTTTACATACTAGATTTACTTTCTGCGCGCAAGTTTTGGAAGAAATTGCAACAAAAAACTTCTAATACTCGTAACTCAGTTCAGACTGAGTTTAGAGGTATACATGTCGTAATAAGTTTGGTTTATTATTTGTATATTTAACACTATTATGTGTCATCATAGGGGTCACATAAAAATTAGGGATTGACGGTGAAAACGGGCATAGATATCTTATATTAAGGCGTTGAATTGTGTATATAATTAACGAAAACAAATAGCAGATGCGATATTAATATTAAATTGTCAACAGTCCTGAATTTATTATTATGTAATTTATGTCTCAGCGTTCAACTTCTTATGTAACGTATTCGACGTACATAAGTGACTAGATAACTGACGGCTGTTATCTACCTATGCTTTTGAAGAAACAAAAGAATACAACCAACTAAATGACTGTGTATTTAGGACCCTAGCCGCGTTATTTACAACTTTATCGAACAAACTCTTATCTAAACCCCTATGCCATCTAGCCAGGTGTAAAAAAACTTCGCACTCGGCGGTGTAATCCAGGTAATGGCCTCGCCTTGGTGCATATTAAGTGCAAGGTGGTGCATTGCCCTCGCGTTAGGTGTCGTTGCCAACTTTCTGTACGATCATAATACTACACACTTCTTAGTACTCAAACACCTACGAAAATTTATGAGATGGGATAGAAGATAGATATCTAAATGTAACTAAAAGGTAACTGATAGTGATCTATCAACGCATAGCCCAAACCACTGGACGAATCGGGCTGAAATTTGGCATGCAGGTAGATGTTATGACGTAAGCATCCGTTCAGAAAGGATTTTACGAAACTCTACCCCTAAGAGGGTAAAACGGGATCCACGCGTAGGAATCGCGGGCAGCCGCTAGTATAAGATATTTTTGTTGGCTATACGATCCATCTATACTTGACAACTAATACGAATATAGACAGTGACCGAAAGTGTAGTTAACCCTCCGTAGTACGCCATATTTTTATGTCAAAGCACTTGACTACGAAGCGCTACTACGGGAAGATGATTTTTGTAGCACCTTCGTAGTGTCGTAGCAAAGTATACGTAAAAATGCTTTATGCTTATTTCTTTTCCAGTGTTACATATATTAACATGTTGCGCGTCATAACCAGGTAGTTATAAATATTTAAAATGTTTTGGAAAATAACTTGAAAAATAAATCACTGAAATTACTACTGTATCACACTATCACTGTATTAACACATGGGCTACGTTTTAACCGCGGGTTTTGAAAAAAAAAACGCATACTTATTGCAGGCTATTTCAGTTTGTATATTTTCTTCCACGCAACTAACCTCAATATGTTGTGTGAAAAACTGTAAAACAATTTAAAGTTCCAACACGTTCAATTAACTCTGAAAAGCGGAGATTTAAAAAAATAATTACTGGAACTGGAGCGTTTCACGAAAATTAACTATATAAATCATTCCACCTAGACCATATAAATGCGGTGTAATTTTTCAGCAGCTACAGAAGACTTAATCCATCTAATTGCCTCGCTAATTTCCTCCTCCAAAAAGGTACGAGTATTTAGTCGAAACAATTTTCTTGCAATTAGTCGCTTATCGATGTGGGAGGAAGTGGAAATTCGTTTGTTGTAATCAAAATGCAAATACACTGGGTGCGTGAGGACCGGCCTTATCCCCCGACCCACATCTGGTGAGGCAAGGCCACGATTCGGCCTCGTGTCCTACGACATTTCTAGTTGTACAACCCCAAAAATTACGCGGCATGTGCGTGGGACTGTAATTAATCTTGTTACTTCATATATCATAACGGTATTTTGTTGGTTAATTAAAAATACTTGAATAAAAATTATGGTATCCGGATGTCGGCGGCTTTTTAAAATACGGCTAATAGCTTATGAACAATTTGTTGTTATTCATTTAAGTGTTATAAACGATACATCAGCCATTAAAAAGCCAAGAAAATCTGGTAATGGAAAATTATAGTTCAGATTATAAAAATCTTACATGTAAAAGAAAACTGAACTTAGGGCTTTAAGAGCTATGTTATCAGTTTTTAACTTTATCTACCTTTTTAAGTTCAGTTTGCTAATAAGAATATAAAAACTCTACCAACATGATAAGCTAAACATTGAGAACTTATGACATGACATGAATAGCAGCAGGTAGAACATTTGTAACTCAGTTTGACATCATTTGCATAGCGCCTTGTATCTACAAATAATCTGCATTCAAAGCATCGTGCTATGCTATAGACGAACAGTATTGTTTAAAATCAGTGGTTAAAACTACGAAATATAACGAATGTAGGTTAATTTAAATAAACATCAATTCTACTTCACAAAGGAACATAGTAGTTACACAAAATACCACATAAGTTTAAGACATTATAAATCGCCACGTAATTGATGAAGGAGCGCAGAGAAATAAAAAAAGCCGTGCGTGTAAGCCAAGATTACTGATGTCGACGCGCGATAATGTATATTTCGATGGAAAGTACATCCAATTTCGATCGCGATGAAAGTCGTTTGATGACTCCGCCAATATTATTAAAGAACTTTAGGTGAGTCAAGCAACACATGCGCAATGCAGCAAATATCTACATAAGATTTTGAAAGTAAATAAATATTAGGATAGGTACCTTGAAAGTTTTGTAGGAGGAGACAACGTAGGATGCTCCGTCTTCGAGTTCCTCAAGCCTGTACTTTCGATCTCCGTCCATGCCGAAGATGAATCTGGCCCCTCTCGGCAGCTCCAGCCTCTCGGAGAGCCGGTCCAGCAGCACCTCCATGGAGGCGAGGTCGCGGCCGGGCTTAAAGCGGAACTCCACGCCGGGGTGGAACGGGTCGCCATTCCGGTAGAAGGTAACGCGCCTGGCCTTCCAGTAGTTGAGGTTGGCGTAGCGGCTGGCCGGTTCAGCTCTGGTGGGGCGGGTGGTGGCTTCGGAGCCTTCGGAGACGTCGTCGGGGCGCTGCGGCGGCGACGCGGGCCGGGAAGGCCTCCAGTCGCCGGGTTCTCGGAGCTCGCGCTCCTCATCGGAGGGCGGATGAGGGTCAGGGTCCGGCGCGGCGGGCTCGGGCGCCGGCGACGGCTCGGGCGCGGCCTGCGGACGGACGCGCGAATGTAGCCGCGGCCTGGCTTGCGGACGACGCGACATCATCTGCGGCTGCCGCCTGCCGACTAAACGCCGCGCGCCTCACTCGCCTCTCAGTATTCAATCAACTGACGGACACTTGTCTATACGGTAGTAGATCGTAGGGATGTTCATTCATGAACGGACACGTGGCTAACAATAAGTCAAGCTCTTGATTGGATGCGGTGTTATAACAAAGACCGTTCTAACGGAAAATATGCCAAGATATGAGAAGTCCATATACGAATCGAGTCGTTAATATCCAAAACGATTTCAAGAATGATGTCAATCAACACACCGTGATTTATGGAATGTGGAACGTTATACGTTCAGAAAGAAAATTTCACTGAAGGGGCTATAATGGAACGGTATTTAGGCAGCACCGAAACCTAATTTCTGAAAAATTGCGACGGAAAGTGTTTGAAGAGATAATGTAATAGTATTTGTGAATGATTTATTCCACTGTAAGCGTCCAGTCATCGTTAGATGCGCGAGATAAGGGCTAACGAGTCGGCCCTCGGTGAATGACTAAGTAATTCTAGTCACGACTGGCGAGCCCCTCAACGCCTCAAGAAACTATTGAGCTCTTTTGTTTGAAGAAAGAAAGGGATACTGTATATTTCAAACTTGTATGAAAGAACTTTTGGTAGTACTAGCGCTACAGGAATGCTAGCGAGGTTGTTTAATAAGCTGAAGCGAGGCCTTGTATAAATACCAATGTACTCGTATAAAACTTTCCTATTTGAATCAAACAAATGAATACAGCATTATTTAGCCTTAAACTATAATGGATTATAAACAACACAGCTACTTAGGATCGTATTCTAGATTTTTAAAATATTAACAACCTTTGTTTAATTTTACTAAGTTATAAAGTAAAGTTAATTTGAATAACATAAATGCATCTTACCACAGCCACTGCAGCCATATTTTCTTCAGTTGTCATACACAGATAGTCCGTTAATCACGATTATTGAGTCACAAGCACCCGAATGGAACCAAATTACAAATAACATGCAATTGAATTACAAATCCGATTTAATTGTATTACAATTGCATTCGCGGATCGCGGGAAAAAGCGACGGGTGACGCCGACGTGTAAGGCGGTCGCTATAAGTCACTGTGCGAGTTTCCGGGCGGTTTTATACAACGTACGACAGTTGACACACTTTCGGGCGTCCAAGACAAAATTGCAAGACACTTGTTATATTGGTATGAAGTCACAAATGAGTGACAGGGGTGTGCTTGATGTTTTTGTTGTGAATGTGGAAGTGTAGTCGTCCGTTTATGTTTTGTGAGCGGAATCGAGTGACGGTCGGAATGGACGGCAACGTGCGGGGTGGCAGCGGGCAGCGCTCCCGTGTGAGTCACGCCAGCGGGGCCACTTAATAAATTATACTCGATCAAAAATAATATGAACAAGAAAAGCAAAGGACTTTTTAAAGAATTTTACAGCCAGTACTCATTCATTGTCAAACTTCATATTGTGACATTTTGAGCTAGCTATATCTACTTTAGAGCGGTAATTATAATGATCATATAATTTCATGTTAATAAATATTGTGTTTACTTGATGGTAACAAATAATTATAAAATAATGTTATTTAATCTAAGTTTATAGTTGGCATAACTGAGACGCGATTTGATAGTGGCGAGGCGTTGATGGCAAGTAGAGATGCATGGTTGGGCAAGTGTAAGCGGCTGTAAATCAGGTATACAGGTACATATTGAGTATACTTGCATAACCTATGTAAGTACAGACAAGGGCACATAATGGTAGGCTTTGTGGCATCTTATGTTGTAATAGGTGGTAGCTATTATCCAACAATGATGTAATTCTGATGTGCCTCTACTGTACTAAAACGAATTAATAGGCTTAAGTGTCTAAAAGGTTTCATATTTTTTATTAAAAAATCATAGTGGTGAAGCTAGCATCGCACACACGAGACGGTGCCCGGTCAACAGGCATATAGTGGCGTGTCTATGTGGGTTAGTTCCATAATTTTTCGCCTCTCCACTCCGCGTGGAGTGGGTTTTATGAGCCCCAATTACTAACTCATTTATTTTAATGATTAAACTTAAACTTACTTAATCAATAGCATAAAAGAGAACGTTAAGTAATATTTCGAAGAATATCGTAGACTCGTAGTCCAAAATAATTTTAAGTCGAAAATTTTCGACGGCAAAAGTTATTCAATAAAATAATTTTGAAAATCAACTCGATTTTTATGAGGCTTTAGCGTTATACTTTTTCCATTACGGGGTAATTTACTGTAATTAAACTTGCAGAGTGGGCGAGTAATAATACATATAATTAGTTTACGACTCACAACTCACACGTCATTTACTCCGACCTTGGTTGTGACTAAGTCGCACTAGGTGTTTGCAGTAAATTATCCATATCTTGATGAGATTATTTACCTCTATGGTACATTAGTAGCATCATAAATAATAACAATAAGCTACTGGAAATACGAGTATGTAATAGTATGTATATTGAAGTCTCAACCCCCATTTAATTTCACAAAATTTTACAAATAAGCACAATTTTTTATAGTGGAGCACGAATTTTGCAGTAACATAGACAAAAAATTAAATTAATAACGTATGTTAAATCATGTTTTAACGATCCATTTAACGTGTAGAAGCGAGCGCTTTTTAAAACCTATTTGCAGGATGTACAGGGTGTCCCGTAATGTAACGTCAAGCCGGAACTGGGTATTGAGGCAAGTTGTGCTGGTTATCAGAAAAATATAAAAAAAAATCTATGTGGCATATTTTAAAAATAATAGGCATTTTTAAAAAAAATTCTACTCCAGGTGACGGTCCTTTTACTCGTGTTGCCACAAATCTTCACTTTTTCCAAATTTTTTTTTTGTTATGTAACCCTGAATAATGCTTCTCTAAATTGTTATCAAAATTATAAAACCAGCTGCTCCAACTTGGATGAAAAAAATACATTATTCCCAAAAAAAAATTCAAAATAAAAATTTTGCCTAGTTTAAACTGACTGTACTGAAAAAAAATTGTACTACGCGAGTGTGGCAAGTGACGTCATAATTTGGCGCATTTAGTAAGGATTCCAAAATGGTATAACACTTTGTAAAATCTTGCTGTAACTGTCGACAATTTTTGTTTATTGGAAATAATCCCGTTTTTAATTTTATCTACCTTGGTTAAAAATATTATTCTAATGTGCCCAAAATTCAAGTTTCTGGCTTAAGTGAGGTGGAGAAGCCATTTTAAAAGGTATGAGCGGGACGGAGAGGGCCATCTTACCTAGCAGGGATGTTATGGATATCTGTAACCGTAACCGAAACTATCGGATATCCGAAATAAATGTTATTCCAGCTAAATAATACTCGCTGAAGAAACTCTTTTCTTTAAGTGTAGACACAGTTTATGTATAAGTCCACTATTGCATGCCGTGGCAACCTATAATTAAGGCAGCACTTAGATTAAGTTAAATACGTTGTAAATATTGATTGTCTTCCAGTGTATGTCTTGTTGGTTGTCCTATTAAATAAATAATAAATAAATAAATAAAAAAATATCCATAACCGTAACCGAAACTGATTCAAAAGTTACGGATAGTTTCGGATAAAGGCCAAACTGCAAAACTCTATGAAATCTGCAGTATACACGCCACAGCTGCAATGCCGCGCTGCCGATTTCATAGTTTTGCAGTTTGCGGTTGCAGTTTGCGGTCTGCGGCCCGTCTTGGAATTGTACCTTAAATCTTAATATTTGTTACCAACTTGTCTGGCATTCGCTGGCACCATCTAATATGCCAGCCTGTTTTACCTTTATCATACATAGGTGTCGTCTTAGTTGGTACATAAAGTAGCTATGTGGGTCACGCTCACGCAGCATCTTGCTATTTGTATTATACCTACATTTTTGAAATTCTAATAATTCCGTAACCGAAATTATCCGAGACTTTCGGATAATCTGAAATGATTTCATATCCGTGACCGTAACCGAAACCGGTATAATATTATTCTAATATCCGTAACCGTATCCATAACCGAAACTTCATATCCTTATTATCCCTGTTACCAAGTACAAGTGCAGGCAGAGCAGGTAGTAAAGGCGCGCGCGCACGGGTGACTTTTGTCACAGTATGTCAACTACTAATTACTGTCATGGTGACAAAAGTTTCTGTGACTGACTGTACGGTAGTCAGTCACAGAAACTTGAATTTTGGGCACATTAGAATAATAATTTTTAACCAAGGTAGATAAAGTTAAAAACGGGACTATTTCCAAAAAACCAAAAATTGTCGACAATTACAGCAAAAATTTACCAAGTGTTATACCATTTTGGAATCCTTACTAAATGCGCCAAATTATGACGTCACTTGCCACACTCGCGTAGTACATTTTTTTTTCAGTACAGTCAGTTTAAACTAGGCAAAATTTTTATTTTGAAATTTTTTTTGGGAATAATGTATTTTTTTCATCCAAGCTGGAGCAGCTGGTTTTGTAATTTTGATAACAATTTAGAGAAGCATTATTCAGGGTTACATAACAAAAAAAAAATTTGGAAAAAGTGAAGATTTGTGGCAACACGAGCAAAAGGACCGTCACCTAGAGTAGAATTTTTTGATTTTTTTTAAATGCCTATTATTTTTAAAATATGCCACATAGATTTTTTTTTATATTTTTCTGATAACCAGCACAACTTGCCTCAACACCCAGTTCCGGCTTGACGTTACATTACGGGACACCCTGTATATGACTTTCATGACTTTTAGGGCCATAAAAAGCTCAAAAGCGCGATTAACGCTAGAACAATAAAATAACATCTAACTAAACTAGTGTTCAACGCGCGTTTCACTTTTTGTAATAAGGGGGATGTAAACGGCTCTATCGGCGTTTTTTGATTAAAAGCACAGAAACGGGAAATGTGAACAAAATCCAGAGAGCGTTTGGTACCCTCAAACAAACCGCTCTACGTATGGTCCAAAAAAAACTCCATTTATTTATGGAAGTAGGCTTTATAAAAGCACTTTTACACGTCCCAGTATTAACCCTACCACTGCTTCAGGACAATAAATGGGCGTGCTGAGAAGAAGGTCCT